GAGAGAGGGGTCCCCGCAACCCCAGGGTCCCCACAGCCATGGGGTGTCAGGTCCCTACCGCTGCCCTCGGTGTGTGCTGGGTGCCGGGCGAGTACGGATAACATCTCCCAGGTGTCGTATGCCAAAATAAATCTTGCGTCTATATAACAAAAATCCTAAGTTGGCGGTGCTCCAAACGGCACGGCTGTTTCTGGTAAAATGTGTGAAACGTCGGCCAGGCCCTTCGTGTTACTGAAATCTTGAATTGTTTAAGTTCTCTTCCCTCCAGAGACGCCCGCCGCTTCTGTGTACGTTTTCAGGAAGTCAGTGGGATGCTTGATAACGCCTGTGGTGCAAGCAACTTGTCAGTGCTGGCCAACAAAAATAAAAAAACTATCCTTCCGAACAGATCTTAAACTATTAACCTATCTATTTGAGATATTAACTGATTTTGTGGCTTGTTGATGACCAATTATATCCCAAAATTAGGTGTGTGAATAATGTGTTGTAATACAGAAGCAACAAATGTTTTTTTCAGGAGTAAAATTCAAATTACTTTCCCTGTATTTCAGCGCTATAAAGAAATCAGAATTAACTAGCGATGAGCACGTTTTAAGGCAAGGGGAAGTGGCCTCACGTTGTGCCAGAAGAGGCTTACGTTGGATATTAGGAAGAATTCTTCACCAATAGGGTTGTCAAGCACTGGAAGAGGCTGCGCAGAGCAGTGCTGGGGTCACCATCCCTGGAGGGATTTAAAAGATGGGGAGGTGTGGCACTTGGGGACTTGGCCGTGCTGGGTTAATGGTTGGACTCAATGATCTTCAAGGTTTTTTTCCAACCTACACCATTTGATTGTGTGATTCTATGACACACACCCCCCTACAAACTGCTGTGCTCCAGCGCTAGTAACAACAGCAGGTTGTATCTTATCTGATAAGAAAAAAACAAAAAACCAAACCTCCCCGTATTTAAATATCGGTGAAATTTCCGTGTGTCTCTGCTCTCCTGTCTCAGCTGAACCCCGGAGATAACTCACAGCAATTTTTCCTTTCACAAAGACCTTGTTTGCAACTGTTATCAAAGCTCTGCATCGGGAGCTAGCGCTCGATTTGAAAGGTAAAGCAGATCTCCTCCTAAAAGATGGTTTTGTTTCAGCCAGGCAGCTGCCCACTGCAGCACCATGGAGCTTGTGCCGGTTGGCTTGTCTGGGTAGCACCAAGGATGTGCTGTAGCTGGTTTTTATTTGGGCTTTTTTTCACTTACTTGGTGGTTTTAATTTGCATTGTCTAGGAAACGCTGTCTCTGTGGTGAGCCACAGCCAGGGCCATTCGATAGGGTGTCGTCACACATCGTGTTCGCTTCAGGATCAGTTTACAGCGTGGAAAGGTGGAAATTAAACTCAGCACGCAGGTTTTCAGAGCCCTTCCAGGGACAAGATCCAGGAGATGAGAGATGAACAGGGAGGGAACTCCCCGCATCGCAGCCTTTTGAGCCCCTTTTTTGGGAATCTCACACCTCCTGCCAGCGAGGACCCTTTTCCTGCACTGTGTGGAGTTGCAGCAGCTTTAGCCGTGCCTCCCAACAACTTTTTGGGCTGTTTGTGTCTTTCCTGTTACCACGTTGATTCCTCTCATCTCCCAGAAAAGCAGGGGGAAGCACTGTGAATAACCCATGACTATTTCTACATAGGAAACATCATTTGAAAGTGGGGTGCGCGGAGCTGGCAAGGACCTTCACGCTGACTGTTACTTCTTGTCTTTCAGCTCAGGGTCATGGTGCCAAAGGGGACAACATCTACGAATTTCAGATCGAGTTCCTGGAACCTGTTGAGCCTAAAGTAGGTACTTTTACTTTTCTAACTCCTGCAAAGAAAAAAGTAAAAGTAATTTTTGAAGAGTTAGACATGAAAATGGCTGTGCGTGCAGCCCACAATATGCTGTTTAGATTTTCCTGGTGACACTGTAACCACTGTGAACTAAAACCATCTGTGGCTGTCCTCTGTTCCCCGTGCTCAGCCACCATCCTGCCTCAATGCAAATCATCTCGCCAGAGATAGTGCTCATGTGGGTCAGGTTTAATAGAAACAAGGCCTTATATATAGCGTGGCTATTACACAGTGGTAATTTTTAAAAATTAATTTAAAGCAGCAACATAATGGGAGAATCTGGCAGTGGGTTGTCTGGTGCAACCCTGACTGGGGAGCAGGGGAATGCTGTGCTGTGAAGTGTCACTGTGTTGTTTTCTGGCTTATTTTGCAGCCCAACAAAAGAAAGTCAGGAAAACTTGTGCTTCTGGCTTGTGCAGATTTCTTAGGTTGCCCGTGCAGATACGTTGTGGCTCCTGTTGCAAAATCTTTTCTTAATTGCTGTTGTAGTCTGATAGCAGAGAGCTTGGCTGCAAGAGCAGCCCCACTGCTGGCGGGTGTAAAGTCTGTCTTTATCTCTTAAAGCTGTTGGGAGTACAGGAAAACTCTGGGCTCTGCTCCAGTGCAGAATTTGTGCTGCTTATTTCTGTTTGCCTGTTGGGAATAGCTGTGGTCAGACTGGGAGCTGCTGGTCACCCCTGCTGCTTCAGCAAGGGAGGACATGGCTGGAGGGTGAACTTCTAGGGTTTGTCAGGTTTCTTGTGTGGCTCCTACAAGGTATTGGGTGGCAGACAGTGAATGTTTCTTGGTTCCAGGGTCACCCATTTGTCATCTGTCCTGTAAAGCAGCAGCTGCCTGGTCCACAGTGTGGGGAGAGGCACCCACCACTGCCTGTGCTTGTCCCCAGTGCTGGCAGACACGGGCTGTGCTGGGAGCCAGGTCTGGAAGGCGAGTCCTTGCCTCTGCAGAGCAGGCTCCTTCCAAAAGTCTAGTCACTCTGAGTCACTGTGGAGGGGCTGGGAGTCTGGAAGAGGATCGACTCTCTGAGATCTGTGTAACTACAGATGGTTGGGACCAGGAGGTATTGCAGTCTAGGGTTTTCTCATTTAGCTTTGATGTGCACCATGAGTGCCACTTGCTGGTGCCAGGATTGCCACCGGCGAGAAATGGAGCCTGTGACAGGCAAGGGCCAGGCGTCAGTAGCTGTAAATCAAGCTGCAACCTTCAGATGTCCTAGGAGCATCCAGATAGCCTTGACAGAGCAGTGCTGGTGTAACACACACAGTTGAGAATGCAGTTCATGGCTCTTCTGCATCAGCTTCGGCTGGTTTCAGAGGCAGCCCCATGCAGAGTCCATCAGCTCGCTGCGGTCTCCAGGTGTTCCTTAAGGTTTTTCGTTCTTGCTCTCGCTGTACCAGATATCATGTGGGGTCCCCTATTTTGGACAGGGACCTGTGGCTGATGGTAGTGTTAGTTTTACCACTGGCTAGAGGAAGCAAGTGTCTTTCATGCATGAAGATCATGGTTTCTGCCTAGGAAGGCTAGCGCCAGGGTTTGGGCCAGGTCTTTGTGGTGGGATGCCATGGTGCTGTGCAGTTCGGGCAGGCTTTCAAGCTGCTTATCAAGTCCTGCAGCCATCACAGTTGTCGTCTTCAACCGGGCTGCCCTTTGCTTCCATGTGTTGGGTGGCAGAGAGATGCTTGTGCTGCTGCAGTCCATGTCATCCCTGCCTCCTTGGTGAGGAGAGCTTGGGTATCAACTCAATCTCAGAGCTTGTTTCTTGCACTTTAGCTGATATATGCTTCTGTGTCTGCCCTCAGCCTGTATGCAGGGTGACTCAAAGGCAGCTGAACATCACTGTGCAGAAAAAAGAGAGTAACTGGTGGGAGAGACTCACCAAGCAAGAGAAGCGCCCGCTCTTCCTAGCTCCTGACTTTGACCGCTGGTTAGATGAATCGGATGCTGAAATGGAGCTGAAGGAGAAGGTCAGTCCCGTGGGCACGTGTGGTTTGTGCTGCCAGCTACAAAGCAAGGGTTGCTGTTCACCTGCACGTGAACTCGTGTTCTTCACTTACCTGGAGCTGTGTGGCATGCTGATTGTGGCTGCTATTTCATGCAGATCCCACGTAGGATTGGTTAAATGGCTCAGATTGTAAGCAGGACTTCAGAAATGGGCACACTTCAGGCTAGGAAGAGTAGCAGTGTGAATCTGAAATGTCATTGTGTGCTAGCTCAGCACTGGCCAGGGTCTGTAACCGAAGGTTTGCAACCCCTCACCCTACACCTTCGCAGCCCCGTGTCCTGATCCATACGAGGATTGGATCAATGTGGCATCCAGATCCCAGAGATGCCAGTCCCTTGTGTTACTTGTCTGGAAAGCAGGGATTTCTGAGGCTTTCCACAGCCACCGTGCTGGCCCTGCCAGTGCATTCCCACCATCTGGTAACCTTGAGCAGCTTACTGCAGCAGGGAGGTGAAGGACCAACCTGGAAAAGGCTTGAACAGACCACATTTCTGTAAATCTACTTTACAACAAAGGCTGCCCTGTTCCCCTCCTCAGCCACCGAGCTTAGCGCAGAGGAGAAGGGGCCGCTGCAATGGCAGGAGCCAGAAAGCAGCGGTGAAGAGTGCAGAGAGCCTGGGCTGGATGGTCTCAGTTCCCTTCAGGTTGCTGGTGGGTCGTGAAATATTTTAAGGAATAGCTGTAAGAAACAGTAATAACTGGGAATTAACACAGAGAACAGCAGGCTTTTTCAGCAGAAGCATCTAATTACTAGAATAAAATACATAGCGAAGGCAGGATAACTAGTTAACACCCTCTAGCTTTTAATGTGCCTTAATTTCTGGATGATTCATGTGCTGTTTTATGCAGGTGAAAACGTAAACCCACTAGCAACTGGCTGCCTAGCCGTGTTTTAAACCCACTAGCTTTGCAGTAGTATAGTTTACAAATCACTTGCTAATTACAGTAACAGTCTTTAAAACCTTATCCTTCATCTTAAGGAAGAAGAAAAGATTAACAAAATGAAAATAGAATCCAGAGTCCCAAAAGACCGTAAGTAACTGTACCTTTGTAGTGTGTAAGGTGGGGGTTAGAAAGCTGCTGTCGCTCCCTTATGCGAACCTCGGCTCTTTCAAAGCAATTTTGACTGGCTTGGTGCATCTTGGAGGGGAATCTTTGTATTGTGAGCTGTTTAGAAATGTAATAAAAACAGACTGCAGTTTCCAAGGAATTTAAAAAATCTGACTAGCAAGAACTGAGTTGTAGCAGCTGATGAAAAAGCAGGCAGAACCCACCGTGCAGGCAGCAACCCTTTTATCGCCATCGACAGCTTCCCCTTTTCTTGGAAGCTTTATTCTCGTAGAAAGCCTGGTTTGCTGCTGTACTCTTTGCAGAAGTGTTGCCGTTGTACTCTGCTCACCTGATGTGTTTGTTACTGATTTTAGCTTTCAGACACCTGAAGAAGGGATACTTAATCATGTATAATCTTGTACAGTTTTTGGGATTCTCTTGGATTTTTGTGAACATGACAGTACGACTGTTCATCTTAGGAAAAGGCAAGTAATAAGCACTATTTTATTTACATTGGGGGTTTTGTTTTTGTTTTGTGGTGTTTTCTATACTTTCTAAAGAGTGAAATCTAAAGGAAGACGTATTTAGGAAACAAAACCATAAATGCATCACCGAAGAGCACAACAAAAGCCTCTCAAAAGCCATCACAATGTCAAGGATAGGAAAATACTTTCCTCTTGTAAATCACAACTGCGTGTTCTGATCAATGATACTTGTACTCTGCCGAGATTACTTCTAAAGAAATCAGTTGGAGCAAAATGTCTCGCTCACTGCCATGTTAGTATTTCTGAAAATGAGCTTTGTTTTTGAAGCAAGGACAATTAATTCTGTTGATATACAGCGCTATTGCTTTTTCTTGTAATTACTGAAGTAGCTCTTGATCCTTTTGTGTGCAAAACAGAGCACTCGAGCACTGTTTCTGGCCCAACTGCTGTTACTTCATGATAAAGCCTATAAGGAAGTTACATAATTAAGCATAATGGGTTTTTTTTTCCCCAAATACAACTAGAGTCCTGTTACCGAAAGCTGTGCTGCTGCGCCAGCTTCCCCAATGAGGAAATTCATTTGTTCTCTAAAATGGTTTGCTGTGTTTTACAGATTCCTTCTATGATACATTTCACACCATTTCTGACATGATGTATTTCTGTCAGACCCTGGCATTAATGGAGATCATGAATTCCCTAATAGGACTTGTCAGGTCGCCTCTGCTACCTGCTGTACTGCAGGTAATATTTTAAGATTCTTTTCCTTGCTCTCCCCATGTTCAAAGTGAATCTGTATTTTACACAAGTGTTGAGATTCCTAAAATAAGTCATCCAACCTCGCTGGCACTGGACTAGAGAATATATTAATCAGAAAGCAGGAATTTGTGCTTCCCAGGCTTAGCTGTGGCAGGCTGTCTGCTTCCATCTCCTAGGTGAGGTACTCCAGAACAGCAAAAACAAGAAGCAGCTGATGAAAAGTACATGATTTTGAGTTGGTTCCAGTGCCCTTTTTATCCTGGTTGTGGTGGTTGTGCACAAAATGAGGGTAGATGATACAAGACAGTGTCCCTGGATTGCACCTAAATGCAGAGCAAAATGCACGCTCATCAGAAGCAGGTCACAGCTCGGCTGCAGAGTGCGTTCTGTGCTCAGCGTAAGTTTCAGGCATGAAGATTAGACATCCTGTGTGGTTTCTGACAGCAGGACTCGCTCTTGCTTTTGATGAAGAGTGTTGACTGTTCCTTAATCTGTTTTTCTTAAACAGATATTTGGAAGAAACTTTATTTTGTTTGTTATCCTTGGAAGTTTAGAGGAAATGCAGAGCAAGCCTGTGGTGTTCTTCATATTTTATTTCTGGAGTATCATCGAGCTGTTCAGGTTTGTGGGATTTTTCTTCATGTACAGAATGACGTGGTTGTTCCTAAGAACTCTTTAAAGATTTCAATCCTTGTACCTGTTGAAAGAATGCATTGGCCCCAGAGAGTAAAATCTCCTTCAGCATGGATTGTTGCAGCCTTCTGAGGTTGCTCCATCTGCCAAAAGCTGGGACACAGCTGGAGTCTGAAAACAATGCTGCCCTGAACCTAGGGAAACCTGTAGGTTTTTTCCCTCAGGGTCCTATTGCTTTGAATTTCCACTGTCAAGTGAGTTGCGCTATGCTGTTTCTCTTTCAAAAGAAGTCTTTTGAAAGGTTTATTTTAAATTTGAAAGCCAGGGAGTTGCATTCCTCCACATGGCCAGAATAATAGCATTAGTTCTGTAAACTGCCAAATAAAGGGGTGTCCATCGTGATCCGTTCTTGTCTGATTTGGGAAATCTGTTGACTATACAGCATGTATATGCAAGACTAATTCTACCAGCAGCTTCCATTTGAAACACTGTTTCTTCTGAACTGGCTGTAGGTATCCGTATTACATGCTTTCATGCATCGGTATTGAGTGGAAACCACTAACCTGGCTCCGTTACAGTACCTGGATCCCTCTGTACCCTTTAGGAGGCTTGGCAGAAGGTAAGTCCAAAAAAGACAATTTAATAAGCAGTGAAGCTAAAGTTGAGAAATAACTCGATGTTTTGTGTGACTGCTGGACTAAAAAAATAATATAATAGGACAACAGATAAGTAGACATTTGCTTTTGTTGAACCAAATGTAAGCATCTCGCTTGGGCTCACACCAGCTCACAGATCTTGACATTACCTTGTGAATCATTGCACAGGGCAGGCAGGGTTGATTCTTCCTCTGACAGCAGCGTAACCTGTCCTGAGGTAGGGCTCTGTACCCCTTCTGCTTGGAGAGCGACTGCTCCATGGAAGAAGCAGGCACCCAGGGCTCTTGCTGGAGCCCCTCTAGGTGTGAGGTGCCTTACAGTGACATTTTCTGTCTTAACAGGTCTGGATTATTTTTATTTTTTCCTTATTTAAGAAGCTTATCACCACTCCGCTTCTGGCTGTAAGAAATGTGTTGTGATCATACCTGTCAGAACCTGTTTATGAGCCAAGAGTAGGCACGGGCATTGCCCAAGCACAGGACAGACGATGCCTGTTTCATTGCCGCGGGCATTTCTGCATGGTAAACACTGCTGGCATAATAGAAATATAATATATAATGTAATCCTGCTGTCAGCAGGCTACTGCTGTGGGTGAGAACAGTGTCTCACCAGGCAAGCTACTGTGCTTAGACTTCCACAGCTGAACTGCCTCAGGGTGCTGCTCTCCATCAGCCTGCACATTTAAAAAAAAACAGCTTTAAAAAATCAGTATAATTAATGAGAGCTAGCAAACAAGAAGGGAATATCCTGAAAAAGTTGGTGTGGGCAGGGAAATTGTCTATTTTATCTGTGTTTGGTAATGATAGTGCTTTCTGCTTTCAGCTGTCTGTATCGTTCAGTCCATTCCAATCTTCAGTGAAACAGGGAAATTTAGTCTGGGATTGCCAAACCCACTGAACGTCACAATCCAGTTCTCATTTTTGCTTCAACTATACCTTATAGCCTTGTTTTTAGGTAAGAGACTTAAATGTGTTTCTCACTGTTGAATTAATAAAGGCAGTTTCCTCTGAATAAATGTATTTTTCAAAGAAAATTAAATTCCTGCATCTTGGGGATCATGGCAACACAAATTTGCTTGAGATTAAGCATTATCCTCATTGCTTGCTGATGTAAATTTGTCAGTGATGGAGGGAACACACCTGCAGTTAGCACTAGTTAGCTCCCCTAAGAAAGAGACCTCGATAACAAAATAGCAGCATTATCTACTTGGGTTAAAAGAATAATTTTTACGTGGATTTATACGTATTTTCACCTTTTACGTGGTATTTGAGCTTTGGAATGATTTAGTGGATATCTAAACATAGTTTCAGATTAGAGCAATGTTTAACTAAACTACATTGTAATCACTAATGCAACATGAAGTCCTGTTTTTCCAGTATAAAAGGCTCTTAAACCATGGCTCTTTTTGTGTAGTTTATTTTGTTGTTGTTTTAAACGTGATACAGCTATCTAGCATTACAAAAATACAGTAATGGCCTACCTAAACACTCTATTTCAGGGGTATTTGTCAACTTCCGTCATCTCTACAAGCAAAGGAAACAGCACCTTGGACCAAAGAAGAGGAAGATGAAGTAAAGGAGGACTGCAATGCTTTCTTACCTGACTTCTCTCGATGACAAGATAAGCCTCTAATTCTTAACGGTTTTACCCACTGTATTGTAAAGAATTTTTGTAAAATGGAATGATCACGCTAGACTTCATGATTTCGTAGTGAATTCAGGTAACATTCCCACGCACTGTATTTTGTTCCCTTTCAATCATGTATGCATGGCGTTTACCACTGAACAGTAACATTTAAACTTGTATCCTGTCAACTACCACGTTAGAAAGAAATCCTATTATCTGCATATAATGTGCTTATCAACAGTGGAGCAGCACTACATAGAAATAGTGTTTATCTTTTAATTGGCTATTTGCTCTTTCGATACTGCATGCAGATAGGGCTTCTGATGCTGGGACATCCTGTTAGCTGGCCCATGCTGTTCCTGGGGTGCATCCTGGTGGCAGGAGGAGCACGGCCTGAGACCACTGGCAGCAGTGTTGGGGTGTTTATTGATGGTTGGAGTAAATTTGCTCAGCACTTCACCCCTATTTTCTTCTGCAGCACACCGATGCGGCAGAATTAAAACTGGAAGTTGCTAATGTCGATTTAAATGCTAGCAACTCAGCCTGTTTCTAGTTCAGCCTTAACAGAACAGGAGCGCTGTGTGGATCCTAGCACTCCTGTAGCAACACATCTTACCCAGTCATTAGGGAGAGGAAGCTGCCACTCTCTGACGTGGTCAGAAACACTTTCAGGTGTTTCTGCAAGCACTGAAACATAACAGAACAGGGAAATGTAGGTACCAGCTTTCTCCTCACATGTGAGCAAACCCCACCAGAACTTCATCCCAGCCATGCAAAGGGAAAATGGGAAAACTGTCACAGGAGACCAGAGCTGCTCTGATCATTCCTGGGCTGTAGCTCCTGTATTCATAGCCTTCGGAAAGGCAGTCAGGATTGCTTTTCTGCTTAAACTTAGGAGTGCAGCTGAGGATTTGGTGTATGTGCTTTGTGGGATGGAGTAGTGGGGCAGATAAATCATGTGCTACTTTGACAGCACTTACCAAATCTCAGTGAGGGAGATCCACACAGGGTGTGAAGGGACCCTTTCCTCTGTGCTTGCTTTAAGCAACAGCAGCAACAAAAAGAGAAGTTCCCTCCCCATTCCAGGTTGTTACTGTCTCACCTGGAAACCTTTATTTCACTTGATTTTATTTCAGCGTGCCGTTCTTCACACCTAGCCTGCTGTAGTTAATCCAGATCTTGCTGGCCTCCCTAATCCAGTTTAGAAAACGTACAACAAGTTTGCTCCGAGCTGTGCCGTGGTTCTGAACAGGCTGCTTCACAACAACTGCCACTGCCCCCAGGGCAACGCAGAGCAACCCAGAACTGGCACTGAAGTTGAGATTAGCTTAGTGCCGTGTTCCTATTTATCTTTTTCTCTACTGTAAAACAATATGAATCCTTTGGAAAATGATTTCCTAGATTAAAGGTAACAAACAGCTTACTGTTTGTGATACGGACCCAGTGATTGTAACTGGAAAGGAAGGGAAGTAGTGTTTTATGGAGATTTTAACAAAGAGCTGGTCTGAGCTCCACGCTGCATTTCACAAACGTGTTCTGTCAACAAGAGGAATGAGGCAACTTCTCCTTAGGGGATACCTGAGGCTCACAGAGGAGAGCACAGCTTGCTTTACTCAGAAGAGCTGAGCATTATTACGCACTTAATATTCCTCTATAGCGCACACTGAACCCATGTTTGCAGTATGTCAGAGGACTGAATTAGCTGATGGAACAGCAAGGATCACTTTCATACTTTACTTTCTCTACTGGGCATTTAAACTTCTGTTATGAAATCCATATGTATTCATACATGATATTTCTCCGTGAAATAGTGGTACCTAGTGCAAGCTGTCATGGAGCGTACACTACTGAATTTTAGTCCTTCTGAAAGAATGTGTTTCTATTAATAAAGATGATTTACAACCAAATTTTGCTTTACTTCACTTGTTTGTTCTTTCCCTGAATGTGAAAAAGTTGTGTGATTTATTATTTAACTCTTGTGATAAACAGCTGGGAGCCGAGCCTTCACCAGGTCAATGTTTCAGGCCACACAGTCTGGTTGCTATGAAAGTGGAACAAATCCAACTTCAGTTTTCATGAAGAATGACTATTTATTAATGTTACACAAATAAAAAAAACCTTGTCTCACAAGATTAAGTTGCTTTCACAAGCATAAGGGCTGCAATGCCAGTGATAACTCTCATTACGCAGCACAGACTGGCTTTCAACATGGGCATAAAATGAATGACACCACCCTGAAATGAGCTGGGTATCTGATCTTGCACAGTGATTCACAGATGGTTGCTTTGGACTAATCAGACTGGTGTAAAAGTGTAGTAGCTGCCTTGTAGGATACTTTAACCGGTGAGTTCAGTTATGTAGTAACCACATTCTGGGGAGGCCAAAAGCCACCAGCAGCCTGCTGCCGATGATGGCATTTTTCTTTCCTCACTCTACTGAATAACTTACACCCATTGAGTTTGGGACACCTCCCACAGTTTCCAGCTCTGACTAAAGCCACCACAAACTAGCTACATTTATCTGGAGAGCTCTGATGCAGGTAAGGGAACCTGTTTGGATAAAAAAGTTCTCCAAACAGTAATTAAACAGGCCCTAGAAAGTAAACAGGACAAGAAAATTGGAACCACTTGTCCTTAAAAAAAAATCTACAGTTCCCAAAACAGAGAGTTCACAATCTTTCAGCACCGCTCCCGGAAAAGTCTGTCTGCAGCGGGGCAATGTTGTGATCATAGGCAGCGTACTCCGACGCTCCGGTACTCGCCACTTTGAGCTGCTGGGCAGCGTGGGTGAGCTGAAACGCCGCGTCGGGATGAGCCGTGTCGGGGAGGAGGGTGCACTCCCGCTCCAGCATGTCTGCCACACCTTTCAGGAGGTCCAGAAAGCCAAAGGCCAGCGCTGCCTTTCGTAAACGATTGAGTTCCTGCAAAGAAGGAAAACCCCTTTTAAAAAATCACTGGCCCAGGCTGCCCAGAGAGGTTTTGGAGTCTCCTTCTCTGCAGACATTCAAAACCCGCCTGGACGCCTTCCTGTGTAACCTCATCTGGGTGTTCCTGCTCCGGCAGGGGGATTGGACTGGATGAGCTTTGGAGGTCCCTTCCAATCCCTGACGTTCTGGGATTCTGTGATTCTGTAATGTGGTTTTTCTTCTTTTTTTTTTCCCAATGGCAAGCTTATGCACTTAAAATAAGCCGAGGGATCGGTACAGCTGCTGGAAACTGCCCAGCTGATCATGAGATTAAAAATGCTGCAGGCTGAAGATGACAGTGGCACAACTAAACACTTGGTTTCCCTTGATCCCTTTCTATAAATCTCCACTGCTCCTTTTCCCCTTTTGCACATTCAGCCGCTGTATCTGCCTGCCTTGTCTGTGTCCCAGCTGGGGGAGCCTCCAACTTAGGCTTCATTGACTCCTGCCTTTAACCACAGCATCCAGCAAAATGTGTGTGTGTATATATATATAAAATATTTTCAATTTTCTTCACTATAAACTGAGAAGCACTTAAGTGCATTTAGGCAGGGTATTCATTCTTGTAGTCTCCAAGGGCTACAATCATAAACTGCTTCAGCACTAAGCTTACAAGAGGAACAACAGCTACCTCCAGCTATACTCTGCCTTATGATTATTACAGTGTGGCCAGATGTGCCTGGAATTTTGTCTTTCTCTGCTTTAGTTGTAGAAAAAATGTAGGAGGTGTTTTCAGGCTCACAATGCCATTTTTGTCTTATTCCTCTCTGATCCCTCAAGTTTATCTCTGACTGGACAGCAGCATAAGATCTGCAAAGAAGTTCACCATGGCAGTAGGAGGGATCATGAGGGGCACCTGAAAACGTGACACATCCATGCCACACTGCCAGGGAATGTGGTGGCAAGACCAGGCCCCCTTGTCTCACCTTACCTGCTCTGTAAAATGGACACGAGATTTCTCCTTTACAGAACCACGTAGAGCCCAAGAAGTGTGCACAGAAAACCCCCCAGACACACACAGTGTGTGCTCCTCTGCTAAACGCACCGCTGTCGCTGTGGATCAAACTTGTGCCGGCCTGAAACGTTACTCACTTTATAGAAGGTCTGAGTTTTTTCAGGGAGTTTCCTTGCATTTCTCAAGATCTTCTGTACATCTGTCTGCAGACAAGAAAAAAATAATCTTGGCAACTGCTGGGAAAGCTGCAGGAAAAACCCCTTTAACTATGTATTGATAAATTATCCTGACCATTGACGAGGCTGCAGCTCACAAAGGCTGAAACATAAGCGGTAATTATACTAAATCAAATAAACCAAGCCAGATGCTACACTGGAGACACAGCTTTCATTAAACAAGCTATGCTTTCTGATTGCACTTCAATCATGACATTTTAAAGAGGCAGTGCTTATAATAATGAAAGAAAAGCAATAAAGCAATTACACTAAACGGACAAGACACAGACTCCACTTTGCTGATCAAAGTAAAGCATCGAGTCCAAAACCTGCATCGTTACCTGGAGGCCACTTGGTTTAATCCACACGGTCACATTCTGTGCATAGCTGCGCTTGTTTTTGGGTTGCAAGGGGAAAGGGCTCTTATTGTCATCCTCTCCATAAGGGTTTTCTTTTGCATCTGGTGAGTGGGGGAGAAAACACAAAGTCGTTAACACCTCTGACTCGGCAAGGCCATTCACACAAGCAAGCACTGAAGGTGTCAGTTACTCAAATGAGCGTGACCGGTACCTGAAATGGGTCCGAGCTGTGCCATCTTCCCCAGCCACGGCAGGGGCTCAGGACCGGGTTCAAAGAGGGACATCATGAGGTTTGATTTCTTCTTGCTGTCAGCTTGTGAGTAGAGCATTCCATACCACTCTGGCCTATCGAAAAGAGCAAATCCCAAAGGCTGAAAATCTTCCCTTCCTCTTTGCCTAGCGTCTGCATCCCTCCCACTGTGTGGAGGCTCACCACGTACAATTTATACTGGCAGCAACATATCCACAATTAAAAACCCCCAGTTACGTCTAGCGGTGCAGAGTTCTGTACAGAATACAGATCTAAATAAGCATAACTTATAAATAAAGCATAAATGAGCAAAGGAAGAGATTTTTCAGGCAGGCGTCCAGCTCCATACCCCAACTGGACGACAGCCACCATGCCTTCCACTTTCAGGCTGCCATGCAATAAAACACAGAAATTGGGGATTTTCCCAGCAATCTGATTAGCTGAATTCTCATCTTCGGTGTCATCTGCGATCCCAGGTCCCACCTCATCGCCCTCTGGGGAAGAATAAAAGCAACCAAAGAGACAACGTGAGAATGAACTCAAACACTAGTGCCATTTCCTTGACACCACCCTGAATTTGCTGCTATGCAGGAGTTAATTAATACTTCAGTAGAACAAACAGCTGCTAAATGAACTGTTTGGGCACAGTGGCACTATAATGTTATATAAATTTGCCACTGCATTCTACCCACGAAACAGAGTTACCAAAAGACTGCAAATAAAACTTCAGCTTTGAAGAACCTAGAAGTGAAATGAAACGGCACCACGAGTCTGACAACAAATACACATCTACTTCTGAGCCAAAAGCATCCTGAATTTCAAGTCCTCTCCTATGCAATTTGTGGTCTTTATGAGAAACTTACTGTGTTTTAGCAGCTGGGATACAGCTGTGATTTAACTGCTAACTTCTTCTAAGGTGAAAGGCCTAGCAGGATGAGTGTTAATACAAATATGAAAGCATATCTGGAGCTTTTCCTCTTCTTTACCAAGACAAATCTCACTTTCTCTTTGCTCCACTCCAAGGCCACGACAAAAGGAAAGGGGAAGTTGTTGTTTTTCACAGCCTGATGTGCACAAGTAGCTGCAAGTCAGCAATAGGCTTAACTACCCTCAAAGCCTACACCAGTCACTTGTATAGGTACATATATATATATAAATGAGCAGCAATTAATGCTCAATTTGAACCAAGCACTCTAGTTGTGATTAAGATCAGATTTTTCACAACAAACCAATTAGATGCAGGCATTAAGCATTCATCTTCCAGCACCTATTTCATGGCCCATAACTATTTTTAGCTTTAAGTTTCACATGTCCTATTAGCAATGCTATAAAGCCACTGTTCCCTCTATTAACTTTCTGAAGAATGCAGTATTGAAAAAAAAAGAGCTTGTGTTCAAGGGTTTCATTTTAAAGTAACCACACATAAGTGTCTTTAGAGACATCTGGCATTTAGACAAAGCATAAACTTGTGCTTCTAGTCTAAGCCACCACAGGCATTACAAGGGAAGCTTAAAGCAGTTTTCGCTAAAGGAAACAAAACTTGCTCACCTCTGTTAAGTGCAATGGGCAGCACCAAGTGTCTGGACAAGACAGGAGGGCTAGAAATGTCAGCTATATCTACAAACCCAACGATCTCTAGATCTGTGGGGAGACAACAGGTTTAAGTCAGATTTGAAAATAGCTGAAATGTATTCAGAGTCAATTTAAGATTCTAAGTTTTCTGAAGCAATGAGTAGAGGTAGCACAACAGAGCCCCAACCACGACTGGGGTACACAAACGTTCATACATAATAACCTCAACACTTTACTATGGGAACATAACTTTCCTCAACACTTTACTATGGGAACATAACTTTCCTCACACACTGCTGTCCATTTGTGCTGCTAGACAAAAAAGGAATCGTGCACATTGGTTTTTTGGGTTCATGCCTCAGCCATGTGAAGGTTTTGGTGTGTGGTTCAGGACTAACCTCTACCCAGCTCCACACTGGCAGAGGTGCTGAGAGTACCTGCTTTGTAAATGTAGAAATCCAGTGTGTTTCCAACCCATACTGCAGCTGGAACTGGGAGCAGAGTCTTCTCCTTGACTGTCCAAGCAAAGGACCTGGCCCAAAGGCAATTCAGTTGATTCTTCTCACAGCTGAGCAACAAACACTTGACTAAAGCCATGGAGGAATTCAGGGGCTGAGCACACCATACACTGCATTTTAATGCACAGAACAAAATCTCCTTCATGCCAAATTCCCATTTTTGGAATGATAGGAGGAACTCTAAGCCTGAATGCAACACAAAGCCTCCCTCGTCAAGTAACACTGCATGCTCTTCTTCTTTGCTCTTGCTATTTTGGTACAGATGCACTCATTCCTATTTAAACAGTACACAGCTACAAATAAGTGATCACACCCTAAATGAGAAATGCTTTTTCTCTTGCAGATTTTAAAAAACCCAAACAAACAAACAAACAAATCAAGGCAATCTTGGTGGCAGTAATTTATGATGCTAAATTTTGATGCTCCAGTTCAAACGTAATTCTTCAGGCAAAGCAGTGAAGTTCAGTGTATTCTCTCCAAGAAGTGTGCCTAGGAATCTGCAAGTCACAGGCAGGGGCTATCTACAGATTACTCGCAGTTTATGGGTGTAGTGTCTCCAAAACACCTCTCCCATTCTCCATGAAGCTGATGAGGGTATTCACAAAAAGCAGTCCATGGCTGTCTTCCACAGTCCTTGTCCCTAGAAATTGTCACCCTGAGCTTTGAAAGTGCCTCTACCCTGAAACAGGATCACATTCTTGTGCTACATACACCAAAAAACAGTCAGCGATTGGTCCTTGCAGAGAGAAAGTGGATGGAACAGTAACTATACAGGATAAGAGGTGGTAGTGAAAAGGTAGAAATCAAATGGATTGAAGTAAAAAAGCAATCAAAGATTTGTTACCTGTATTAATTGCTTTAGGGATGGGGTCTATTTCCTCATCTATAATGAAAGGTTCTGGTCTGGGAAATACTTGCACGTCAGATGTTAAGTGGCCACACTTGAGAACAGCATGGAATGGTGTGTAAGCCAGGTCTATCAGCTTCCTGGAACAGGATCAGTTATTAAGGAACACAGAATACAGATCAAACAAGAACAGTTTGTCTAAAGCTCACTAACTGAGCTCTGCCAACTCTTTTTTAATTTCTACAGTTAATAGTTCCAGCATTGCTACATCACAAAAGAAAGGTGCATATAATCACACTGATAGCAAACTAATAATAACTGTGGAAATTAGTATCTTCCATCTGCCAATTGTAAACAGATGCTATGGCTTGTTACAGAATTATTACAATAAATATTGACCTTAACCAGTGGAGGTCAAGACAAACACACAGTTAACAAGACCATAAACTAAAAGCCAAAAAAGGTTAATTCGAACACCCCATATAATCAGATTTCTTGTTATATTTGATTTCTTTTACAGATGCTATCTGGAAACCTTCACAAAGGCACATCATTTACAAGTCTACTAACCCAAACATCGACTGCACGTTCTTCAGGCAAAGGGGTCCATCGATGGTGAAAATCTGACCTTCCCCGTTGTTCAGGTCTATGAGCCGCTCCAGGCAGTCTAAGGAATCTGTGCTTTGAAGCTGTAAAAGAACAAAGTGAAATGGTTTTGTTAGTTTTCTTTGTATTAACCAGTACGTGTTCAGAAGACAAACACAACCCAGCAAAAAGCATCTGACTGGATGCTATCGTGATTTTTTGTTATCTCCCTCCTTTCGGAATAAACCAACATTTTGGGTCTCCCAGGAAATGTACTCCTCACGTTGCATTTATATCAGAGCAGATGCAGCATCTGGCCTAGTAACAAATAATCACAGAATATCTCCAGTTGGAAGGGACCCATAAGGATCACCGAGTCCAACTCCCAGCACCTTGCTTTATCGCGTTAATTATGCTGCAGAAGCAGGTTCAAGGAACCAAAAAGCCCAGAAGCTCCCAGTTTTCAAAAGCACAGGGATGCCTTAACTGCTACAACATTTCATTGGTAATGTCAAGTCTCCAGCTCCTTCAGAATAATGTCATTTTTTAGGAAGGAAGGCAGATATAATTCTTTTTGAGAAGTTCTCAGAGAATGGTTGTGAAAGCACCTAAACTTATCAGTAATAGCAGATTTATTTAAAACATTCTCCCAGTTATTCTGATATGTAAACAATGCTTCAATCCATCAGCTTAATCAAGAGGATCATCCTTGGTAGAGACCTTGAAGCTGAAATATCCATTGTGTGTCCAAGTAGAAAATCCTTCTGCGATGGACAGAAGAACACGGGTGTCAAGTCAAAAGCAATGCTATCAATAAAACCTAACCTAAGGAACTTTAGTCTGTACAGGCGTCTTTTTAAACACTTTTTTATTCAACAGAATTCTACCTATTTTGAAGATTTTTAAAGCTGGTATTGAGATTTTCAAAGGTACCTAAAGAGAAAGAAAATGGTCACCTTTCCTTCAAAACTAAGGGCTTGAACACTGGCTTGGAGACTTCAGAATTTTGCTCACTCACAATTCTACATAAAGCTATTGTTGCTTTTTAAGTGCTGAGCATCTTTGCAATAGAAATAAGTTATTCAAGAATTTAACTGTAGAAAAGCCCCCAAAAGCATTCAGTGTGATTGTTGCAGTAAAGGTAATAATATAAACAAATACATTAAAATTGCGTATTTCTCAGGGAGAAACTGATGTGATTTCTAAAGATTATGATGATAAAGCAATGGTAGTAGATAATAACAGTGCAATAATAAACTTTTTACAAGATACTACAGCCAAATTTCACCAACAATCTAATGCTAAGCACAAGAACAAAGTACATTTTGTGCTGACCTGATCATTACTTCAGAGAAGACTGATAATTATCCAAGGCAACAAAGAAGGAATGTGTTAAAGACATCACCTCTTCCAGATTGGCCATGCACATGACGTACAGCTTGGAGGGGAACGGGAAGGGCAGTGGAAATCGGTTGCTGTCACTCCGCTGGTTGTGAGTGGCCAGTGAGTGCCGCAGGGAGCCTCTGCCGATGCCCAAGCAGCCGTCGGTGACGAGGACAACCTTGAGCAAAAGAGGATAAATGAGCGTTTCCGTGATGAGACACGTTTCTGTCTGCAGAGGGCAACGACGCACCAGCACATCTCAGCAGCCTTCCCAGCAGCATGCACTTCTACACTGAAAATCCCTGCGCGCACAGGGCTTTTCCGCGCTGAGCTGGGGAGGGATTTGCAAGTTAAATTTCCAGAAACAAGTACATAAAGGAGAAACTGAAGATTTCACCACTGCGTTTTATGTAATGCTCACATTTTGCAAGAGAACTACTGAAGTAAAAATATTTTCCAATCAGTTGCACGTCCCAAGTTGCTCCTTGTGGAAATCTGCAGTAACAGGTTACACTGAATAAAGGAACTATCTGCACTCAGCTGAGACCCAGTCATCTCCAGAGCAGTAAAGCAGCTGCTCCTTCAACACTGCACAGCAACAGCAGGCATTCTTTTTAGCTGACAGGTAAGGAAAATCAAATCCAATTGAAATTCAATGTATATCTGCTACATCCGTGGCTGGAAAGCTGCCTGGAG